CATGACCTGAGCTGAAGTCGGTCGCTCAACGGACTGAGCCACCCGGGCACCCCAAAGCTCCCCCCATTTAAACCACACTGAACCCCCTCACAAATCCTCCACACGTGCCCTTGTTCTAAGCCCTGGCAAGCCCTGGTCTCCCTCCTGAAGAATGGCTCACGGCTCTCGCGTCGTGGAACCAAACGGCCTGCGTCTCTGAGGTTGCTGGGTGAGACCGTACGTGCACAGTGCGGGCTTTTAAGAAGCTGCACGCTCTCTCCCAGCGTGGCCCCAACGTTTTACATCCCCACCAGGAATGTGGGAGGGCTCCAGTTTTCCCAGCCCTTGTCGGCATCTGGTGCTGCGACAGCTTCTCATTTCAGCCATTCTGGTAGGTGAGTGGTGATATCTGACTACGGTTTTAATCTGTACTCCCCCAGGGGCTGATGAAGACTCAGGCTTTGATCTGAGAACCCTCCTCATCTCCCGTGTAAGTTGATGCGACAGAATTCCCTCTCGGCGCTGCCTTAGCCAGAGTCCCGCACACTTTGATATGTCACGTATTCATTTTCATTCGGTTTGTGCACTTCTAAATTGCTTTTGAAACTTCCTTGTTGACCTAAGGATTATTGAGTGGTGTGTGATTTAACTTCCACATGTTTAGAGATTTCCCTGTCTGCTGTCGATTTCTCGTCTGATCCCGTTATGGTCAGAGAACGTACCCTGTGTGATTTTTTTTAAAAAGTTCTTTTAGATTTGTTGGCAGTTGTCTCACGACCCAGTATGTGGTCCTCCTTGGTGAACGTACGTGGACAAAAACAGTGTGCACCTTGCTATTGTGGGGCTGTGTGTCCTGTAAATACCAGCTGGTCCTGAGAGTGGGGTGTGGCTCCGATCCCCTCGTCTCTGCTGATTCCCTGACCAGTAGTTCTGTGAGTGGCTGGGAGGGCATCTTGGGGTCCCCTATGATAACTGTGGGTAATCTAGTTCCCTTTTCTCCTCTATCAGTGTTTGCTTCATCTGTTGGTGCTGTCTCATCGTAAGAACTAATACATTTTGAAGTCTTAAAATGCAAAATGATGGGGGTTTTTTAATGTTTATTTTTGAGGCAGAGAGAGACAGAGCATGAATGGGGGAGGGGCAGAGAGAGAGGGAGACCCAGGATCCGAAGCAGGCTCCAGGCTCCGAGCTGGCAGCACAGAGCCGGACGCGGGGCTCGAACCCACAGACCGCGAGATCGTGACCTGAGCCGAAGTCGGACGTTCAACCGACGGAGCCACCCCGGCGCCCCTAAAACGCAAAATGATGTTTTAAAGCGACAGAAGTGTCATAAAATTTTCAAGAATGCACATACCACATGTTTTTTTTTTTTTTTTTTTTTTGAGCCACTGTCACCTTCCTCTTCTCGCCATCCTGGGTACCGATTCTGGTCGGGGAGGCCAGGACCTCGGGTCTCAGAAACTGACTTTCCCCTTTGACATGTTTTTGAAATTTGTTTTCATTACCTCCTCATGTGGAAAGACGAAAAACAGGAAGGGCAGACTTTCAAGGCAAGTCTAATCTTTCCGCTGACACGCTTAGGAACCGTGATGCCCCATGATGCCCCCTTTTAGAAGCAGGGATTTAAACATAGAATGTCACTAGGGGTGCCTGGGTGGCTCGGTGGGTGAAGCATCCAACTCGATTTCAGCTCAGGTCGTGATCCTGGGGTCATTAGATCGAGCCCCCTTTTGCGCTCCGGGCTGAGTGTGGAGTCTGCTTAAGATTCTCTCTCCCTCTCTCTGTCCTTTGCCCCTCTCCCCCACTTGCACTCTCTGTCTCTCTCTAAAAAAAGAAACAAAAAAATAGAATGTCACAGAGGACCTTGTGGGTATGAAGCTATTCCCCGCCTCCTGTGTTCAGGGTGAGTTTCACGCGAGACCTCTGGGCTGAGTTTGGCCCCAAGCTCGATAACTCCCTGCCATCTTTCTTGCTATTGAAGAAAGTATCCAAGGATGTGGGGAGAGAGGAAAATATGGGGAGAATCTTGGATGGCTTCTCACTTATATTTTAAAAATAAAGTCACTCCTGTCAACGTTGCTGGTCATACCATAGAGAGGGCTGCTGACCAACCCGCGCTGGCTCACCCTTTACGCGGTCGTGTCTGGGAGTGTGACTGGCACCTGACGTCAGCCGGCTTCCGGGGGCGTCCCAGTGGCTGCCATCGGAGCAGTGAGGCCGCCTTGTGGAGCACAAACATCGCCTGAGGGCGGGCTCCAGCCTTCACCACCTTGGCCTAACCACGGAGCTCAGGCGGTTTCTTCATCTCACCCCTACCCCCCAGAGCCCTCCCCGATCACCCGCCTGGGCTAAATCTTAGGGTTGTCAGGAAGAGGAAACAGGATCCCGGCTGGGGGAGATTGTTTCTGCGGTTTGGTTTTGCATAAACTTCCAGTAACAACTGTAATGATAAAAGTCGTAATGATAAAAACGTTTTTGGTTTTGTCTCCAGCAGGTGTGAGGTTTGCACAGAAGCTGGAACCCTGACAACTAGCTCAGAGGGATGCCAGGCTGTCATCAGGGCCGCTGTGCCCCGCAGGGACATGAGGACCAGGCGAGGACACAACCAACGAGCTAGGACTTGGTCTAAGAGGCACAATCCTTTATGCATCATAATCCAAGCATCACCGTGTGACCAGACCTGCCCGAGCTGTAGGACCCAGCCCTCGGTAACCACGTTTAGAAGAAGCAAATAACCAAGGGAAGATGAATAAAAGGTATAAACAGGAAGTAAAGTTTTTGGGGGATCTTCAGACCAACCCTAGGGCCTTTGTCCAGTAAAAGAGTCTCCCTGTCCATCAGCTGAGACTAGAGGACGCTCTGGCCCCTTCTTTGTTCTGCCTTCATCTCTGGGACGTTTATTTATTTATTTTTTTAATTAAAAAAATATGTTTATTTGTTTTTGAGAGAGAGGGAGAGAGAGACAGAGCATGAGCAGGGAAGGGAGAATCCGAAGCAGGTTCTAGGCTCCGAGCTGTCAGCACAGAGCCCGACGCGGGGCTTGAACTCACGAACCGTGAGATCACGACCGAAGTCGGACGCTCAACCGGCTGAGCCCCCCGGGCGTCTCTATCTCTGGGACTTTTAAATAGCGTAGCACAATGGCCTCAGAACAGAACAGGGACCTGAACTGCCATCACCAGGAAGCTCCCAATAATAGTAATTCACGTGCAATGCCTCTTGTTCCTTGCTCAGCGGGACAAGGGACTGTTCACCAACAGTGCAGGCCAGATGGAAAATCCCCACGTGTGAAATAGAAAACCGACCCGCACGCCTATGTCTGGGGTCGACACGGTTGAAGCTGACCAAAGGGCCGTATCACAGGGCTCCGTTGGGGGCTGGTCGGGGGAATATAGTGGATCCCGGGGACCAGCCAGCACTCTGGTCAGAGAGGTGGAGCACTGAGCCCGAAGAGGCAGATTCCAGCTTGCAGGAAGGAGGAAGGGGTGCCGTCATCACCACATGAGGGGCGGGCCGGGTTCCTCACCACAGGGACGGGGTTGCCGATGGATGGGAGGATGTTCAGAGGCCACACTTCCCCCATATTCCCCGGCACCGGGCAGAGGAACCAGCAGATGAATTCCAGACTCACCTGCTGGGAGAAGCCGGGCTTTGCTCAGCCCTGGGTGGTGCTGAGCCGCGTGGGGGAGGTTCAGCTTGGCACATCCCGGATGCTGGAGGCGCTGGCTTGCTGGTGACAGACTTGGCATTGGCTCCCTCGTCGCTCGCTGCTAGTTTTAAATGCCTAGAAGGGCATGGTTGGGGCCCAATATTGGCTTTTGGAGACTTGATCCACGGAAGGGGGCGCTGAGCCCTGACGTTTCGTCTTGGAGTGCGCAGGGTGGTGACAGGGGGAGTGGGGCCACATCAGGGAGTGCCAGTTGTGCAAAATTGTCAAATTTTGGTTCTTAAACCAGAAGATGGCGGTTGGGTGAATGGACGCCTCCGTCCAGGGCGAGCGGAAATGAACATCGCCTGGGTGGAAGTCGGTGTGCGGTGCTGTGTATCCGGAGCCTTAGGAAGAACACACTCCCAGGCCCAGTAAATGTACTTTGGGGGCTGCCCCAAGGAAACCGTCCAAAGCACAGAAAAAATCATCTCACATGAAGACGTTTGTGAAAGAAATCCCAGTAATCATGAAGAATCGTAAACAACCCAGAATTGACCCATGATGTAAAAATCATCAACGAAGTGTGGGTATGGCGGGTCTGAGGAAGCACCATGGAACCGTCAGCAGCTTACCGTATGGAATTGGCAGTAACATGGAGAATGTTCTGGTCACACCAAAAAGAATACGGCAAAGAGGGTGAAGAACAACTCAGTAGGGAAAAGAAAGGAGAAACAGCAGGGGGCAAGATGGCGAGTCACATCGGGATTCTGCTTTTCCTTGTCATTGAACTGTTTCTGTAATGAGTGTAACCGACTTTATACTCGAAAATACTGTGTTCGTATGAGTCGCATGTAAAGATTTCACTCTCCTCCAAAAGGAAGGAGAGTGTTGCCCTGACCCCACAGTCGGTGAGCCAGTCAAGCGAGGGGTATTGGACCAAGCAGGCCTCACCGTGGGCCACACCCCGATGTGTTTGCCCCAACACCTGCTTCCTGGCACCTTCCCTGAAGTCAAACACAGATCTGGGGCCGGCCTGCAGCGTCTGTTATCTTGGAGATTTCAGCAACCTCACTGAGGGAAGCCACCCTTTCCTGTCCCTCAAGTCCTTGTCTCATCCAGAAAGCCCAAGGCCATGCAGGGCAGGCCAGGGAGATGCAGACTTGGCCGTGAAGGGAACAGAAATGGTGAACACGGGGAGCCTCTACGCTCTCTCCTCCCTGACACGGCCCCGCCCCAGCCACCACCACCCTGCTCGCCGGGAGATGAAACGTCAGGGCTCAACACCCCCTTCCGTGGATCAAGGCTCCAAACACCAAGATTCAGCCCCAACGGTGGCCTCCTCGGAATTAAACTGTTACAGTCATTTTATTTTATTGTTTAATTGATTCATTTATTTCTAAAGTTTATTTACTTATTTGGAGAGAGAGAGCGCAAGAGTAAGCAGGGAAGGGCAGAGAGAGAGGGAGAGAGAATCCCAAGCAGCCTCCACACTCAGCATGGAGCCCGATGTGGGGCTCGATCCCATGAACCGTGAGATAGTGACCTGAGCCGAAACCAAGAGTTGGACGCTCAACCGACTGAGCCACCCAGAGCCCCTGTTACAGTCATTTTAAATTATTTCTTTGACTACTAATTATTGTTCTCACCTCTCCTGTAGTTTTTAGGCATTTACATATGGTCTTCTAAGGTTTTGTGTTCCTATTCTTTGCTTCTGTATCCAGGGGCACTCCAGGGTTTTAAATTCTGACGTGCGTAAGACGCTTATGTCTCACAGTTTCTAAACCTTTGTTCATCCAGTGTACTATAAACTTCATAGTTTTAACATATTTTTAAAAAAATTTTTTTAATGTTTATTTTTTTGAGACAGAGAGAGACAGAGCATGAATGGGGGAGGGTCAGAGAGAGAGAGGGAGACACAGAATCCAAAACAGGCTCCAGGCTCCGAGCTGTCGGCACAGAGCAAGGGCACAGAACAAGCATCGTTC